AGCTGGACAGCCCTCCCAAGAAGTTTGCTTTATATTCTATTTAATTGAGTTCAGAAAATGGCCACTACTCCAATTTGCAAGAAATGGGTAATGAAAGTGCTTTAACTAAAAACTTCTATGTGCTCACTTGAGATCTCTAATCCCCAAATAACAAACCTCAGAAAGAATTAAGCAGCAATTTGTGTTCCAGATAAAAAGCAAACTGGTTGTCCCTGGTCCTCACAAGGCCAGTGCATTTTCTCATACCTGGCCTCTTACATTATCTAACACTGTCCAGGAGGAAATAACTATAACACTGAACAAAGATCTTGCTAAACATTTTCCCATTCAAATCTCTCTTTACAGTGACTTTATGCTGAACTCTGTAACCCAACACACATCCCAAAGGCCCTGATTAACCTTTAGTAACCTCATCTAATCACCTCCTAGAAGGTATGATAAGGAAAGTAAGGCCTCCCAGTATTTTTCTTCTCCACAAACAAGCTGTGGTTATTCAGTTGGTCCAAGGGCAGGGGGCATTCCTAGGACAAAAGGAACAGCGAAGAAAACATTTACCAAAATATGGGAAAGGCAGTTCACCAGATTATTTTTGAAGATTTGAAAGTACTAGAAGACCAACCCAAGAAGGCTATGCCTAGAAGTCAGAGAACTTGTTAGGAAAGAATAATCTTGTATTTATGGCGATATCAAGCCTTGGGACACAAAAGGATCACCTAACTCCCACCTTCCCACTGAGATTCCAATTCAGTGGGTATGGGGTGGGATGGTGGGCACTGATATGCATTCAAAATTGAGAATCACTGCTTTAGATTACTAAGTTCCTTCACAGATATTACCCAGGGTTTTGCATACATAAAGAGAGGAAAAAGAAACATTACTAGTACATGTTGATTGTTTAAGAAAGCAGGAAGAGACAAGAGTCATAATTGTGAGAAAAAAAAAAGGATTGCAGAAAACTAAGTTTCTAGAAACTGGAGGAAAACTCCTCCCTTTTCTAAGAGCTAAAATTAGTCCCAGGAGTATAGAACATTAAAGAGGGATTTGTATGTACATATTTCCTGCTATGTTGGAAACAATCTTGAGATGACAGCAAAATTCCCTGTCCAGAGAAGTCTAAAAACAGTCATCTAATTTTGATGCCAATTGTTTTCTAAAACCTTACCGGGTCTACTCTATAAACGGAAAATATTGGAGAGGAGGAAAAAAACATTGTTAGTCAAAAAATATGTTAGAAAATGTCATATTATTTCTATGTGCATTTGGGGGCTGTACACGTTTTGCAAGTATAGACAGTGTGCCTCAACAGTGATCCTAATAGCTTTCAGATAGTTATAATTAATAATTCTGCAGGTGAAGGTGACAAGTTAAAGACCTGGGATATAGCTGAAGGATGAAGTAGAGGCAGGGCTAGGGTCTCAGATTGGGGGGAAATGTGGAAGTCCAATTTCAATGAGGCAGAAGAAAATTTAACTTGTGATCAGAACATAGGAAGTTGAATTTTAAGATTATAGAAGTGGGCGATGACAAAGCTTAGGCTGTGACCAACAGAGTGGAAGCCAAGCTGTCATCTGCATGCCAGCCAATAAGATGGAGAGGAACAAGATTCAGGTACAGAAAAGAAAATCTTCCAGACACTCAGTATTTAAGATAAGGAGCTTCAGTTAATAAGCTTGTCACCGTCTGGTTTCTAATTAATAAAGAATGGGTAATAATAACAATAATAATAGTTTAGCACTTACTAGGTGTCAGCATTATACTATGCACTTTGCATACATTTCAACATTCACAACAATTTTGTAGCAATAGGTACTGTTGTACCCGTTATACAGATAAGGAAACTGAGATATAGAGTAAGCAACTTACTCGATATGGGTTATAAATGCTTAGGTGTCAGCATTATACTATGCACTTTGCATACATTTCAACATTCACAACAATTTTGTAGCAGTAGGTACTGTTGTACCCGTTATACAGATAAGGAAACTGAGATATAGAGTAAGCAACTTACTCGATATGGGTTATATGCTGTGGAGAAGGTATAGACAGACATGGGTGAGAGAATATTTCATAGAAGGTATCAGCAAAAGAAGGTGAACAGAGTCCAGGAAGAGTCCTGCCTATGTACGTGTATTGCATACCAGCAGATGCCAGGCCACATGGAGGGGCTGGGAAAGATGAGTTTGAAGTACTGGTTTGCAGCCATAGGGAAGAGAATCCTAAACCCCAGTCTCAGTGCTCAGAGTTTGAACCTGATTCAAGAGGTGGGAAGAAAGTGTCGTAATCAAAACTGTATATTAAGATGACTACCTTTTTTGTATGAGCAAATTAGAAAGAGGCTGGAGTGAAAGGACAAAGGGTAGGGGTTTTTTGGTCCTGATTGTTTGACAAGTAGTGAGTGTATCAGTGGGAAGAGTGGCAGTTGGAGGTTAAAGAAGAAACAGATTTGACATATGTTGCAAGGGACAAATGTAAAGTTTTGGTAACTGATTGGATAAAGGGTGTGGGAGTGAGGGAAGCATTTTAATAATGTCCCAGGATAAGGCAGGGCCAGCGGAATGAAAAGAAGAAAAGATGTAAAGAGAGATTGTATTCCCAGGAAATGTGCATGCTTCCCTCTTCTCTAGGATGTGCTGTGTAACATGTGTGTCCCTGTGTATTCAGAATGTTCCCTGGGGTCCCGTCACAGCCACATTTCTGCACAGTCCTCAGATATGGAGAAAAGTGTTGGAGGTTGTTAGCACGTCTCCCTCTGGAGATGCAACTGGGCTTAGCACCAGCAAGAGAACACCAGAGGGGATTGGTCTTTTCCTCCATGATTGGATAATGGCTATTCCCAGATGCCCGGGGAAGAGCTGAGTTCATTAGGTGCCTCGCACTATACTACGCACGCAATCGTGAACAGCTGGGCTGTTTGTGCAATTTAAAAAGATGAGGGAACTGGCTGTTCACAATCTATATGTAATGAATTCATAATAAATCTCTCAATGAGAAGGTATAAAAATTTCCTGTTTTTGTACAGTCAAAGCAGATCATTAGGCAAGTATCAAGTGAGTCTCATTAACAGAGATAACCAATGTGGAAAATCCAGTGAGACTTGCTCCACATTTCTCTTAATAATGGCAATTTTTTTAAACCTGAAATATGCTGGTAATTTTCTCACTTGCAAAATTCAATTTGCCTAAGATTAATAAATATGCTTTTTCTTAATACTTGAAAGAAAGTAAGCTGAGATGCCGGGTACGGTTCAAGCTTTATTAAAGAAAGAAATCTGCTGGGCTGTGCTCAAAGTAGCAGGCAGCCCAGGGCTACCCTGAAAAGGGGACAGCACCAGGTGTGGGGGTGGTAGAGCTTATATCGTGCACCAAGGGCTGGCTGATACCATCAAGGAGGGTCATTATGCTAATATGGATCGGGATGGAGAACTGCATCCTTGGGGACGCAAAAGGGGTTTCTGTTTAAGTCAGGAGGCTTCTCGTAAAGAGAAGGGAGGAGGGGAGGGGAGGAGGTGGGTGGTGCCATTTTGTACTTGGGCTCGCCTAAAGTGGTGCTGGTTATGTTGCAGATCTATTAATACTTACTGAATATCTTCCATGTTTGAGATGCTACATAAAAATATCATTTGTCACCTTTTTTCTTTTTTCCACTTTATTTCTGAAAATGTAAAATAGTAAAGCCATCACAGAATGATTTGTTTTCAAGAAAATGGAAATAATATAACATAAAACAGTAAAGTTTTATAAAATTATATATTATGTATGAAATGCCTACTTTAAAATTTAGTAAAATGGAAAATGGGTGACAATGAACTAGTATGAGTACAAGAATTTTGATTGTAATATGGGTGGTAGTGGTTAAGAAGAAGGTTAATAGTGTCAGAACAGGGGCATTTTCCTCCGATATTTTGCTTGAAAACTACTCCACTTCTGTGGAGTCCCCAGCCTCAGAGCCAGTCACAGAACTAATCAAATTAGCCTGCTGCATGCGTTGGTGGATAATAAATATAGTAATGATTGACACCGGATAGAAAACAATAACCAAATGAAAGATAATTGTTAAAGATAATTTTCACCTAAAAATAGACACTATTGAAATATTTCCTCACTAGAGTTAGAAATCTGCCTATTGTGGTCAATCGTACTTCATAACAAGATAATCTCTGTGTCTAGGAGGATACTTACCCTCTCATTCTTTAAGGCAGAGAAATGAAACTTGCATTTGGATCATTTAATAGCAGTTTTGGCTCATTAAGACATGAATTCAAAAAGAAGGATGTATAACTTACCTATGTTGAGCCCATCAAAATTTTTATCTGATCTGTCAAAAAATCATTCCTCCTGACTCAGATTTTCACAATATAAAAATAGTATATACAATTACTATTTTTATTTATTTTTGTATTTTAAAAGCATAAAAAGAGGCAAGTGGGTTTTTTTTTGTTTGTTTGTTTTATTTTGATTTTTAATTACACCTCTCTAGAATTTAAATGCCTATCCCAGCATTATTGAGACAGACACAGTGTTTTCTCACCCTTTGATTCAATGATGGTGTGAATTCAGTGGATATGCCACAATTAAACCTTCTTCTGTGAGGGACCCTGATGCGACCTCCAGTTTGTCTCTATTAGGAATATTCTTCAGCAAACATCTTTGGTTTTCCAAACATCAGTGTTCATTTCCTCAGAATAGATTTCCTCAAATGAAATTACTAGATCAAATGGTATGAATATTTTAAAGCTTCTATTTCCAAGCATATTTCTAAATAGCTTCCAAAAGGAAGTTATTTAGAAATATTAATTTACCTTACACTAGCAATATATGAGAATTACAGTATTATCCCAGGCTTAACAAGCTGCTAATAAGACTACATTATTTTTATTAGAGTTTATTTTATTCCTAGCAAGCTTGAAAATTTTTGCAACTATTCATTTAAAAAATTTTGGTGTGTTTGGTTCTTTTTCTTTTTTACCTTATCAGTTGGCAGCTCCTATCTGATCTGCTTTCCTCACTCTGTTCCACTGTATAGGCTCCCACGATTCATTCAGCTACTGGGTAGATGAAAAGTCCCCAGTAGGGCCTGACCAAACCCCAACTATCAAACGCCTCGCCAGGATCTCCTTGGTGAAGAAGCTGATGAAGAAATGGTCTGTGACTCAGAACCTGACATTCCGAGAACAGCTAGAAGCTGGGATCCGCTACTTTGACCTGCGTGTGTCTTCCAAACCAGGGGATGCTGACCAGGAGATCTACTTCATCCACGGGCTTTTTGGCATCAAGGTCCGGGATGGGCTGATGGAGATCGACTCATTTCTTACACAGCACCCACAAGAGATTGTCTTCCTGGATTTCAACCATTTCTATGCCATGGATGAGACCCATCACAAATGCCTGATTCTCCGGATTCAGGAGGCCTTTGGAAACAAGCTGTGCCCGGCATGCACTGTGGAAAGCATGACACTGCGAACCCTGTGGGAAAAGAAGTGCCAGGTAAGAGGGAATTAGAGATGAGGTTTCAAAGGCAAGAACTTAACTCTTTCTGCTTTTCCTGTATTGCCAGCTCTAAAATAGCTCCATACAGGGTTCTTAAGCTAGAAGGCATGGATTGTTTGGAATATTAAACATGTGCAAACTGGTTCCTGGGCTCTGGAATAGCTTTAAGGGCTGGGATTAACATCTGCCTAATATTTAATCCTTGTCCTAGCTACCTGTTTGACATCTAAATTGACTTTGAATGGCCTGGACAGAACCAGCGAAAGCAAAGTTGTGAAATTGGGGCAGTTGAACTTACCATTCTGTCTCTCATATGGGTCATCCCACCCTCCTAGTTCCCCTCAGGGACAGTGTGTTCCATCTTGCCTTCAACTCAATGTCAGATAATCCTTGCTGAGGTATTGACTGATAAGGAAGAGCATTAGCTGACAGAGGCATATAAAGTGATTCATCTCAGGAGTGTTAATTTGGGTCATAGAGGGAGAGAGAGTTTAGGAAGGAAGAACCTGTTGAAGGGAGTCCAGACTGGGAGAGCATTCCCCAGGCTGCTTATGTTAAGAAGAGCCTCCAAACCTAGGCCGTGAGGGACATGCTCCAGGAAAGGAATGTGGGTCTCAGATATATTACACTCTGATCCCAAAGGATGCTAATAGGAGAGAAGAGCTTCAGGAAAGGGCAGTCTCTAATTTATACTCTCTTTACAAAAAAAGAGAAAATAAAGCAAGTATGTGTTATTCAAAGTTGATCACTTGCTCAGTAAATGCATTAACCAAAACTTCTTAAAGATGCAAATATTTTTGAGCTCAAGAAGGAGCTTTTAATTGAAAATCAGTTAAAGATTATTTGCTTGCAAATATTTGTTGAATACCTAGTATGTGCCAAGCACCCTTCTAAGGACTTGGGATAAATTAGTAAATGAAACAGACAGAGATCCTTGCCCTAATGGAGCTTTTATTTGGGTAGGAAGATAGATCATAGATAATAGAGGTAATGGATTTATTACATATAATGCTAGAAAGTCATAAGAGCTATGGAAAAAGAAAAAGTCAAGTGTGGTAAGGGGGAACCAGGATTCAGTGGGTTGGAGAATTGATTGAAGTTTCCAATGGGTTGATCAGCGTAGCCTTCACTGAAAAGATGACATTTGAGGGAGTTAATCACGTGGTTATTTGGGGGCTGAGGAAGCAGCAAGTGCAGAGGCTCTGAAGCAGGAGCGGCCCTGACATCTTTGAGGAAAAGCAGGGCCGGTGGGGCAGGAGAGCAGGTGAGGACAGAGTGGCAGAGGCGGTCAGAGAGATAATGAGCCATCATGCGAGCCTTAAAGGCACTGTAAGGACTCGGGCTTTAGCTGTGCGTGAGGAGGGCTTGAGCACAAGGTGCTGTGGCTTGACAGATTTTAACGGGATCTCTCTGATTGCCATGCTAGGAAGAGACCAGCAGCAAGAGGATCAGGCAGGAGCAGGGAAACCAGTGAGGAGACTGTTAGTGGCAGTGGTCAGGTTTTGAATCTATTAAAAGGTAGAGCTAATAGGGTTCCCTAGTACATAGGATTCAGGATGTGAAAGAAAGTCAGGACGCAAGGATGATTCCCGGGCTCAGCCTGAGTAACTGGAAGTACGAAGCTGTTTAAAAGTGCTAAATGTCTTTGACTCCATAGAGGCTTAATGACTTAACTCTTAGTATCTGTTGATATATCTAAGCTATTTTTCTCACTAAAACTTTTGTAAGTGATATTTTGCCAAATATTTATCATACCTCTCCCCACTAAACCTACGTTTATATCTGTTCAAACTCGCTAGTCCAACTTGGAGAGACTTTTGACCCAGTAGAGTTTCTCTCTTACCACATTAGATAATAGTAATAACACAACAACTAACATTTATTGAACCTTTACAATGTTCTAGGTATATGGATTAACTCATTTAATCCTCCCAACAACACTGAGGTAGGTACCTTGTTATTATCCCCATTTTACAGATGAGGAAACTGAGGCATGGAGCAATTAAGCAACTTGCTCAAGGGAGCATTGTCAGTAAGTGGCAAGAACCAGGATTCAACCCCAGGCTGTCTGGCTCTGCAGAGTTCCCACTGCTTCAGATAACTCTCTGTGGGCTGTTCACAAGTCTTGGGGGTTCTCAGAACTGGTGTCATATATTATGCTAATGAAAATACCTTATTACTGAGCCCCTATAATCAGAGGATCTCAGAGTTAACAGAATGAGAGAAAGGGATGGAGATCTATAAGAAGGCTTTTGAATGCTGGGATTCAGGTAAGGTTTTATCTGATTACAGATATAATTGTATAGTTTTGTACATAGTATTCTGGATGGGTTGGCATACTGCATACTAAACTGTGTTGAAATCTGCAGGAGTAAGAGTAAGGAATACTGAGTAGTATGGACAGCGAGGATTACAGATATAATTGTATAGTTTTGTACATAGTATTCTGGATGGGTTGGCATACTGCATAATAAACTGTGTTGAAATCTGCAGGAGTAAGAGTAAGGAATACTGAGTAGTATGGACAGCGAGTTTCTAGCCAGCAGTGATGATCTAGCATAGTTTTAAGTATGGGCTAATTTAACTGTGTCATCTAACTACAAACACTCCTAAAGTTAAAAGACTGTGATGATATGTCAGAAAGAGGGAGATTGTCACCATTTTAAATCCTAAGATCCCCTTACTCCTTCCTTCCCTGCATTTTTCCCTGCCATATCTCTTCTTAAAAGCTAAACAAAGAGATCTCTAACAGTCACCGGTCATCTTCCGCCTGCTGAGGCAGTGTTATACTATAGGTGGTTAAACTTTAAGTATTCATTATGTAATGGGCTGCCTTGCAGATAACCCCATGAGTATTTTATTTCTACAATTTAATAATAATAAGAAGAAGTGCACTGTCATTCAGTCAAACTTCATTTACTCAACATGCTTACAGGTATATATTTGTACACTAGTGGCTATGGGTTTTGAGGGTACAGTGAATTAGAAAATTTAATCTACATATTGGAAGTATTTAGGATCTTAATGAGAAAGTAAAAATACATAACACTAGTGAAATACAGAACAA